CTAACACGCCTGTGACTAATACATTGTTAGTGGCCCTGTAACTAACACGCCTGTGACTAATACATTGTTAGTGGCCCTGTAACTAACACGCCTGTGACTAATACATTGTTAGTGGCCCTGTAACTAACACGCCTGTGATTAACACATTGTTAGTGGCCCTGTAACTAACACGCCTGTGACTAACACATTGTTAGTGGCCCTGTAACTAACACGCCTGTGACTAACACATTGTTAGTGGCCCTGTAACTAACACGCCCGTGAACCATGGGCGCCCACAGAAATATTTTCAAGGGTGTGCAAAACATGTGTGTAGGTATCGGTTTCACTATGAGCTATCTGCGTATTGTCCGCTGCGGTGATCAAACCCCGAATTCTAGTACAGTAAGTTTTTAAGATCGTCACTGGACCACCGGGGGATATACATTGAAAGAGTTATTTCATTTGAAGGTCGCCTTACTGTTAGTGAAACTCGAAAAAAATGCAGTTTTTTATCCGATTGCTTACCAGTGGGGCGTACTTCTACAGTGCAAGTCAACTGACGGAAATAATGTGCTTAAATTCAAACACAAATTTACCGTTTTAATAAATATTACGTAGTTTAACCACGATGTTAAGTTTACATCATAATACCAGCACGTTTTTGTAAAATGTAGGGAGGGGCAAAAGCCCCCTCTTGCCCCTTACCGCGGGAGCCCATCCGTGAACTGTTTGAAACATAAATAGTTTAGAAACTCGGTGGAATACGGCTTCCATTTGTTTTTACATCTTGGTAAAATATAATATTTATACAAGTTTTACCTGTTTAGAGGTTAATCGTTAACTCTCCGATTGAAAACACAACTCGAATTAAGTTCGGTAACGTTCAAAGGGGTCGCTTCGAACTTATCTAGGGCAGAGGTTTCTAAACTGGGGTTCAGGGACGGAGGAAACCCCTCGAAGGCCGCGATATGGTGATCGTATCACATACAGACATGTTCCTTTCCAATCAACTCTAGCATTTTTTTAACCGATTTGATTTTTTTTCTTAAAAACATTATTCCATTTGTACGGATTAGTCACGTGGGAAACCCCCAGTCAGGTTGTGGCTAATGTCATGGGGAATTCGTCAAGCAGAGAAAGATTTAAGAACCTTTACATTTAATGTTAGAAATTTCCGGAAAACGTAACCGGTATTCAGATTGTGGCTAATGTCATGGGGAATTCATCAAGCAGAGAAAGATATAAGAACCTTTATATTTAATGTTAGAAATTTCCGGAAAACGTAACCGGTATTCAGGTTGTGGTTAATGTCATGGGGAATTCATCAAGCAGAGAAAGATATAAGAACCTTTACATTTAATGTTAGAAATTTCCGGAAAACGTAACCGGTATTCAGGTTGTGGCTAATGTCATGGGGAATTCATCAAGCAGAGAAAGATATAAGAACCTTTATATTTAATGTTAGAAATTTCCGGAAAACGAACCGTTATTCAGGTCAAACTAAGTGTAGAATATCAGAAGAAATAACGTACATTCCTTTAAAATTTCGTGATAATGGCATTCGACTTGCAATTTGAGAGTCACGGGTTCGAATCCAGTCACCGAACATGCTCACTCTTTCAGCCGTGGGGGCTTTATAATGTGACGGTCAATCCCACTATTCGTTAGTAAAAGAGTAGCCCATGAGCTGGTGGTGGATGGTGTTGACTAGCTGCCTTCCCTCTAGTCTATCACTGCTAAAATAGGGACGGCTAGCGCAGATATAGCCCTCGTGTAGCTTTGCGTGACATTCAACAAGCTTTTAATTCTCTTCAACGTTACCGTGATAAAATAAACTTTTCCTTCCACTCCAGGTTTTAGATGTCAACGTCACTGGACATTCGATGTTGTTCCCGGAATTCGATTGGTTGGACAAGAAGACAAGGTTGTGCCCGACATTGGGTCCGAAGATCGATGTATCGAGGCGTGTTCAATCGAGAAGAGCTTTAATTGTCGTTCTGCAATTTACGAGTTCACTACAAGAAATTGCATTCTGAGCATGTACGATCGTCGAGTGGCGCCGGAAATATTTAAAATAACATCTGTTGAAGTTGATTATCTCGAAAACCAATGTGTTTCAGGTAAAGAAATCTTTTGACGTAAACCATAATTATTTGTCCGTTTGGCATAAATGTAGACTAAATTCTAATTTACTGTTGCATTTTCTATTTCATTTGTCATAAGACATTAATATTAGGCCTATTACATTTTTAAACACTACGTTCGTAATGGTTGGTTTTTCCTGGCAGTTATTTAGATTTAAAAATAATTATTTCCGAATCTAGGGTGCTCAAAGATTAAACAATCCTCCTTCGTAATCTAGTACCTTAAGAATTTTAAAGTATACACTGAGTGGTAACGAGTAAATAAACACCTAATTTTTTGTCATTAACTGATTTATGCTAACTAATTTGTGTTCACTATATTAATGAAAATGGTCCGCACACTAGTTATCTTGTGCTACAACATGCCTAGAACTCAAGGATCTATCG